TACTCCCAACGAATTTATATTTCTGAATTCTCAGTTAAGCTATTATTCTACTAAATTTTAATAATTATCTTATCTAATATAAATATCGCATCTAGACTTCTTTGTTATAATGAATGAAACTTTCTAATTTTTGTTCATATACCATATTGTCAAATAACAAAAAAAAGTAATTCTTTACTAATAAGGATTATGATTTATAATTCTTATGAAAAAAAAACTCTTTAAAGTAATAGTCTGTTGTACGTAACTTATTAACATCCGCCTGAAACTTCGTAAATAGTTTCATCTCATCGTAAACTACAACTATTTTATTTACGAAAACTCTTGAAATTGGGGCGTTTTCAATCTGGAAGGGAGCCAATTTTGTGTATTTAATGAGGTATTAAAAACTCGTAAATAGCCATTTAGATCGTAAGATAATTTAATCACAAAACCGAAAAAAAAGGTGACCTACAACAATATTGGCCCGTTTGCCCTATATAACCTCGTTATTTTGAAATTTTGGGGGAGTAGGTCACGCCAAACTGCTCAATATTTTTGAACGCCGTATTTTTTCTCGATTTTCTTATCAAAATATCTTACGATATTAGAAAGCAAATGGGTATTTATGAGATTTAAGTACCTTATTAAATCGACAAAGTTTGGTCCCCTCCAGATTGAAATCGCCCTAATTCCAAGAGTTTTCGTAAATAAAATAGTTATAGGTTACGGTAAGATGAGAACTACATACGAAGTTTCAAGCGGATGTTAATGATTTCATGAAAAGGTGTCTATACCAAGCATTATAAGAATTTACCTGGGTATGGGAAATCTTAATGGGATAGAAATATTTAAGCCAACCATTAAAGAAGATATGATAAAATTATATTTTTTTCATCTCTAATATATTAAATTATAAAGAATAGGTGTGGTTATCTGGAATATTATGGAAAAAATTATATTTCACGTCGGAATGTAATTTGTTCTGGTCTTGTTTCTTGTCTGTTCTCTCTATTTACACGAGCAATCTTTTAATTTAATTTTATAACATAGATTAACATTGATGTTACTTCCTAATATTAATGTTAATGTTAAAAATAAATACATTTTATTACAAAATACATTTTCATTGATATTGTATATGTGTTTTATTGACAATTTTGGATTATATATATGCTAATAATTAGCACTATTTTAATTGTTGATTTCGTACCAAATATGAGTTTTTAAGTTATCCTTAAGTGTTTTGTAATATCTGTAATGTAGTATAAAAAGGGGGGAAAAAAGAAGCAGTAATACCATACTTACCATACTGAGATAGACTATTTGTATGAGGTTCTTCCTTCAAAACAAATAAAGATTAAATAATCGTTATTAGTAAAGAATAATTTCGAAGTCTGAAGATCGGGTACAAAAAATGCCCTCTTAGAAGAGATCTATGGCAAAAGATGAAAAGGAAGACCAAAGTTGCGGTGGGCTGATGGCATATCTGCAGATACCCGATCCCTGGTTGGGGTCTGGAACTGGATAACTGGAGGTCAAAGCTGCAAGAGAACTTATCATATAATTATATAATATAATAATATGAATATAATAATAACGATATAATGGTTATTATTATTGCCGAAATTATTAATTCCTTGATTATAAAAGCATATATTTTTGCTTCTAAAATTGCAACTGACGTTTTACGTTCAGGAGATTATATATCATATAAGTATAGCCACGTGTCTTACTAATGACAATCCAATTCTGATGAAATTTTCAGGGATTGTGCATAACTAGTTATGGTACCATTATCATATTGATGTCGTTGGCACGATGTTAAAGTAACGAATGTGCAACGTTTAACAGGCTCACGTTCATTATTTTAACATTGTGCCGACGATATGGTCCTATGTCAATTTTATCAAATTAGTTTTTTGTTATATGTGGTTGGTTCGAACCAATATTCAAATATCTCAACTTTTTTCCTATTTAGTAACATAAAATATTTTAAGTTTAACACATATATTAAATACATAAAGTTTATAATACGCTTATTGTTTACATATATTAATTGCTATTTTTAATGATTTCTTCATATAAAGTTTGAAGTTTGAAAATACCATTACCATTAGCTATTACAGACCATCTGATATTAATATTGTAAATTTTATTGTCTTGAAAGAACGTGAAGTTTTTTTAATATATTCATATATGTATTAATATATGTGTACGTATGTATATTTTTGACATCTGAACTCAAAATGAACGGCCTCTTTTACATGGTGATAGATTCCGTCGTGATAACGCGGTCTTGGAAGTAAGACGTGGAAATGTAAATACTAAATTTACAATAGAAGCTATAAAAAGAAAACTGAATTTATTATTAAATATCATCTCAAGTTATTAACTCATTTTTGGACTAAACTAGGGTCAAAACAATATCATCATAATCTTATCCTCTTTAACGTACATGAAGTTTGAGACTGCTTTTTGAATAGCTTAGACCCGGTGGATCTTTCCCGTACCAGCTCTCATCTCCTGTTACATTCCAAATCTCGCTTTTGGAACGTATCTCGTACTCCTTCTCCCCAAGAGATTCAGCGTATTCCTCTAGGTTTTCATCCTTGCGCACGACTCTCAAAAGTCTTCCTATCGTCTCTGTTCCTACCCATACAGAGAATGTACTCAGACCATGGTAGAATAGTTTATTGTGAAACCTTTCCCGTCTAATCTTTTCCTCCACCTTTCGCGGATATCACATATCCAGAACCTGAATCATGCTCCTGTGATTTGAAGTGAGTTTCCACGACTCAGACCTCAGTATTGCAATTTATACTGATCTCTAGATCATCATCTTTGTTTTCGATTTACCACTTTCTGGTTGAGGAAGCCTCTTCTAACTGAGCAAAACATCCTTCCTGCAGCCCTTATTGGGAGACTTTTTAACTGGTCCCAAAACAATCACAAATGAATAAATATTTTTTACTTAAAACCTAATTTTTTCTAGAAATTTGGCGCCCTCTAAATTCTGCTACTCTGGGCAAGTGACCCTTTCTCCTATTTCTGGTTTTAATGAATGCTGTTTAAATATAAATATATTCTATAGGATCGCTTTTAAATAATTCGTATATTTATAAATATATTTGCTTACGAATATATTTATAAATAATGAAGGAAAGAAATTAAAAACAAAAATAGCAAACCTATCTGGGAAAGCCAGAGTCCTATTGAACCTATCTGGTAAAAGTAAAAGACCTTTTATCTAGGCTAGTAATGCTGACCATCCCAGCACCCTGTTAAAACTCTCCGTAATACCCTGGAGTTTCATCGGGAGTGTTTCAACCCGCAAAGTATAATTAATTTTCCCTCTCCTGCAATAACTATGCAAATCTGTATGATCATTTGCATGCCACCTCAGAATTTAATTTCGAATAGCTTTTGATTTCGGTATTAATACTACTCTACTATACGCTGGGATGTCCTTATTCATCGGACTTATCCCCACAATCGCCTTAAGTCGCTGATCAAAGATTTGTTTAGTTACTGCTAAACGATTATCTTGGGAAAGAGACTATAATAAGTATTAGTAGAAAAAGGCCTCTTCAGTCTCGATAAATAATTATTTTATTTCAAATTTATCCAAATTTTCGCTTCTTTTGTCATCTTCAAGGATAATCTGACTTTACATGTAAATTAAATTTTCATTCGCTTATAGCAGTGCACCCACTTAGATAAATATAAAAAAAAAAATTATTTATCGAGACTGAAAAGGCCTTTTTCTAGTAATATTTAGTTAATTCAATATTTTTTGAGAAATAGATTAACTTCCTTGAACATTTAAAATATCTGCAAATAGGCATTCATTGAGTAAAGAATTATTATTTCTCAATTCTTTTGAATTTTAACTTTTAAAAAATGTGTTGCGAGCAGTGACACCTAACAACAATAATTCTGTGTTCCGAAAGTAAAGGACACCATGTCCATTTTTTCATTAAATAATTTAGTAACCAAGAAACAAACTGTAGTAGCTCTAAGTTAAGGAAAATTGGCTTCCTTAAACAAATACTTAAATGTGACATTGTGACATTACCTCCGGTGTACATATATATATTAACCCCTAATTGGTAAAAAAAAAGAAATAGTGTCCTATACCTCTGTGGTACAGATATGTTCTCCTCTTTCTTATTTTCATGAATACATTCTCACTTATACCAAGTGATTCTTTCGCCGTTGCCTGGCAACCTGATACGTGAGATTATTAGTTAAAAAATAGTGACGAGTTCACGTGCCGGTGACGGGGGAGTCTTTTAAATCCCCACCCTCACTCCCTAGCCCGGGAAAATCCCGTATAGCCTTAAAAGCGAGGAAGGATCCAAAAAAAATAAAATAAAAAAAAACCATGTGATTCTTGTTACTTGTATTGTAGTTTATTGAAAATGTAGTCTCAGCTAACTTATGAGCGCAGATCGTGAGTAAAAAGGAAACCCAACTCACCAGGAGTGCCCAACACCTTCCCGCATCCCTCCCAAGATATTTTATTATTCTCGGTTTCTTAAAAACAGTGGAAACGAAAGCAGGATTTAAATATTCGTATATTATTACACATATATAATATACGAAGTCTGTTCCATGCTTCCACTTGTCTTTTGACTTGAAATGACTTTTAATTTTGAAAATTCATTACCCCATCGAAATGTGCCCCCCTCAAAAACTGAAAACCCCGTCGATGTGAGCCCCCCTCAAAAATTGAAAATCCCGCCAAAATTTGCTCCCCTCATAAATTTTGATGACGCAACTTGCGCCATGAAACTCCCTTCTGGACACCCCTACAATTCACTAAATGAAGATTGATTAACTTTTTTTTTTAATTTATTATATTTTTTGTGTTAATTTAGGTTCTATATTTCTTTAAGTTTTTTGTTTTTTTACTTTTGGTTTTATACATATTTTATTATTTTGTGGTTATTTTTTAATTTTATTTATTTGCTTTTTACTTTTTGTTTCATTATTTTATTTTTATTTATTTTTTATTTAGAGAGTAATGTGGACAGTTACCCTACCATGGACGTAGGCCGGCTGGAGGGGAGCAAGAAGATCCCTTCCATCGACATCCACCTCACTGGTAAGTTGGAAATAAATATTTGATGGAAACGTGGAGGAGGTGTATATTGTAACACTAACGATACCATTCTTAATTATCTTCAGTACTCATTAAACATTATTTCATATAACAGAGCATTAAAACGCATGGCCTATTGTTTTGTTTGTTACCATCTTAACTAAATTATCTATGCTAATATATAAAAATGAAGAGATCGTTGAACGAGCTGATTGAGTATTTGCATGAAAAAAACACTTTTTATATAATAAGAAAACTTTCATATCTAGCTGAAAAATGGAGGCAACATTGCGTCTGGGAGGTGTGGTGAGGACGACTTGGGTTGTGGCCTGAATCCACAAGTTTTACAAGTGTCTTGATCTTTGCAAATATGCATCAGAAAATTTGGACCATTTTGGATTTTTATTGTTATGACCTAATCTTCACCCAATTTTTCTATCCAAGCTCCGACCAACCCTATAATCCTCTCTGAAGATTAAAACGGCAGTGGTTCCTATAACTTTTGTAAATAAAATGTTATCAGAGGAGAAGACTGTTTTCCCAAAGGCAACCATATTTGCGAAAGAAAATTAGTATAATCAGAAAACATCCCGGAGAAAGTAGATTGATAGATAGATATAAAATAACTTTATTCTGGGACACAGTCCCTTGAGAATAACAAAATAGAACAAAATTAAAAGATTAGATCTGGCCAAAATAAAATCAATGGAAAAAAAGAAATAATGTAAAGAAAATATAAGGTAAACTACTATATATAAAACAAACGAAACTATATACAAAACAATTAACACAATGACATGGCACTTAAAGATATTTGCACTGATAGACCAGTATACACTTTTAAGAAAACAATAAAGAATTAAAATATATTAAATTCTTTATTAAAACAAGCTTTGTGTTTCTGTTGAGAAAACAGAAAGCTGAATCTGACAATATAAAGTGCCTGCTTAATATATAAATATATTATCATTTAGCATTGATATTTGACAATGAATGGCATGAAATAAATGTATGTTGTCAAACGGTTAGCAAATATCTGACTGTTTTTGGGATAGGAATTGGAATAGGAGGGTTTTGAATGTGGATATGGATGGGGAATGTCGAATTTTGATAGGGAGGGAATTCCAGAAATTGATAGAGCGAGCAATAACGGAGTTTTGGAATGAGGTAGATCTGTGAGAAGATATGTAAAGGTTAGAAGGTAGAGATCTTGTGGACAGGGAATGGACTGAGGATTTCAACTGGAGAAGGTTGTAGGCGTAAGAAGGACAATAGTTGTTGATGATTTGGTAGAGGAACGTACCTAGGAAATATTATTTTAACTCAGCGTAGTGGTGAGAGACAGGGGAATATCTTGGGGCCCCGATCAGCTGTTCATTTTTTAGTAGGAATGCCATATGGTTAATTTTTTTTTTAATGGTTTAAAATAGATTGTGTCCTTAAAAAGATTTCGTTGATGTAAAATCATCAAACTGACGTTCTTTACCAAGTCATTTTCCTATTTTTTGTACATACATATTTAAGAACAGTATAATTTTTATACATTATAAGATGAAAAAAATATGAATAACTTTTTATGCTCAGCGATGATTCTATCGATGAAAACCATCGATCGATGGATATTAGGAATGACCTGCTGGATTCCAGAGAAATATTAAGACTCCTGTAATGAAACAAGGACGTATGAAGCTAGCTAGCATAATGGAAGGGGACCGAATTCCTCGATGAGTTTCGGAACGGTCTGATAGATTTATAAAGCCGTCGATGATCTCAGCGTTGAATATAGAAACTTACTCTAATGCGGTTCTCTTAGTTATTTACTGAAATTCTCCTATATTATTGTAAATTGTTATTAAATTATTAAATAGTTGTTTTAAAATATCTTAATCCTATCTGGTTATAAAAAAAAATAGTGCAATATCTGCTGACCTTTAGGGTCATTGGCGCAAACATTTGAACTCGACAATCACAGAAAGCAAAGTTGCCCGTTAATGTTATTTTTATAACCCTGTAAATGTCCAGATCACAATTTCGAATAGTGTAAATAAAAAATTCAATCGAAAATGTTTCACTTTAAGATGATAAGAAATAATCTTATGTTCTTTGTATATAAATGTAAATCCCACTTCTTAAATGCGGGGTAAATAACATTAAAATAATGATAATTGTAGAGTAGTTCTTTTCCGTGTTTTTTAGTTTGAAATTTCTCCCCAATCAAAACCCTTCTGGGGCACCCCCAGACTGTTTAAAAAGAGTAGTTATAATTAACAAATTAATTAAGAGGGAAAACCTGACGGTTGAGCGTCATCTCGGCCGAATCTTCTCCCAGCCCACCTTAAAACAGTACTTCTTTTCGAAGTACTATAGTGGTACAGGAAACTAAATGGAACATTTTAAAATTTGTTTTAAGCCTGACAAACCAAAACTATACGAAGCTCCGAATTATTCCTCTAAAATTGTTCAAAAAACTATTTTATTGAACTTGAAAGACATGAAGAAGTGCTTGTTGCTGAAATTATTATATATCGAATACTCTTAAGGAGTAGGAAAATCATACTGCTGTAACCTTTAATTATTTAGTTTAGTTTAATAATTTAGGAACCTATTATGTATTTAAATATTAACCGGTTCTATTTTTTGTCTCCCATTCCTTACCCTTTTGAGGTTTTACGGGTTTTTATCCAAGCCAGGGAAGATGGCGGTGGAATTATGCCAGAGTTAAAAGTCCCTCCGGTACCGAGATTTGAACTCATAATCTTCGGTTAATCATCTGGTTGCTAGGCAACGTGTATTTTGCATACGCGTTATCCCGTTCGGCCAACCTCAATCCTATTTGAGCAGAAATTAACATCTACTCAAATAAGTTTAGTAATTGGAAGTCTACAACTGACTCTGGCTGACTATGCAACAGATAAATGTCCCATTTTTTTTTATTCTAAATTTGATGGTTGTAATTTATCATTTATTGAAAGGAATATTATTCTTATTAAATGTAAGCTACATGATGTGCGAACAAGATTTATTTAAAATATCTTCTCCATTTTGATATATTTCGTTATTGTTTTACTATTTATACATTTAAATGTATAAAAACTGGAATCCAGTTTTTTTGTTATCTGTATCAAAAATGGCGAGTCTAAAATACTCTTTCATCTCTTGCGGACTTTATAATTTTGAAGATCTAATGAAACCCCCACGTTTGCTTTGGGTTGAGCATCCCTGAAACAAAAAATAATTCCAGTAAATTTATCCTTGTCTATTAAAAAAAAAAAAAAGAATATAACATGATTCATTCCTTGAAATTCAGTCAGAGAATTTAAATGACTATGAAATGTTTTCGGCGCTTGAAACGTTTAAAAGATACCTCAACATAAAGCAGGTCTTATTACACAACTTGTGGAACATTTAAAACCTATCTCTTTTGTTTAATGATGCCACAACATTGAAAAAGTGTGTCGTTTCTTCTTTTACTACCACATGAAATTCGAAAGATATTCTTTATCGGCATCCCCTCTGCATCATAAATTTCTGCCAGGAGTCTAGGAAAATACCATGCCCTGTGAGATACGATTGAAGGGGTCGTTAGTGAACGACTCATTTCTTCAATGACAAATGTAAATCTCTCTTTGTGGATGTTAAGGTATGTTGAGAAGATTTGAGAAGAGAAGATTTGAGAAGAGAAGTCGACTAACTTCCTTCAATAATCTATAATTATAATTTCATATTCTTGCTCTCTGCTATTTTCCCTCGTAGCAGATTTCTTATGTCAGTTGCAGACTACAAAATGTCACCTTTAGCACAAATAGAATAAAAGTTGAAAATATTTACATACGACCTTTTGCACTAACAGTAGTGATATATACTTAGAGGAAAAAATTAACTTTTTATTTGTTTGGAATAAACTGTAATATAAAAATATGTGTAAAGTTCACACAACTTTGATATTTAACTATGAAATCTGGACCACGACGAGCTAGTAGAACTTCCATAGAAATAAACACAATCACAAATAAGAAATTTTTTTAATACAAAATCGGAGTAAAAATTAATTTAAATTTACCAGTTACGTTTGGAATCGACCAAACAATACAGTATAAATTAACTTTTTGAATAGACCGTAAAATTGTATGACCTCATAAAAATATTGTGTTAACCTAACTCCCACTCCAGATGATCAATGCCTTCCACATTTCGCAGCCATTATATTGTTTACAATTATTTATATTAATTTTAATTATTAAATGGAATTCAATGAGATTGATACCAAGTAATTTCTATACTATTCTCCATATTTATTCCAAGTTTTTATCAAGAAAAACATGTTTGAGCACATGAAAGAGAATTCAATAAAATTTGCATTACATTATTTTTTAACCAATGCCTACTTTTTATCCAACTTTGAGCCATATCGGACGAGCTGTTTCTGAAATATTAGTATATCTAAAAACATTCGTTTGCACGTGATACAGGTAGTGCTGGATGGAATTTGATAAAATTGACATGGAACCACCTAGGCACCAACCCGCACAATCCCTGAAAATTTCATGAAAATCGGACGAACGTTAGTAGGTGATATGCCCGTCACATCGATTTGACTACAGACAGACAGACACCGAACTTAATTTGATCCTTGATGTCTGAAACGTAAAATGCGAGTGGAAATTTTCAATTCTGAGCAGTTCATTTTTTTTTAACCTCCAGAACAAAGGATGATCTTGTGTTATTTGACTAAGTGGGCTAGAGGGTGCACTGCTATAAGCGAATGAAAATTTAAATTACATGTAAAATCAGATTATCCCTGAAGATATTTTGAAATAAATAAATAATCTTACAAAGATAAAATAATAAATTTTATATAAAGTAATTATTATCGAGACTGAAAAGGTCTTTTTTTACTAACTCTCGCACGAATACTATGCTTCCCTACCTTCGGTAGTGAGGAAGCAAAATAAAAAAAAAATCCTAATTCTACATAGCTCATAGATGGCTTAGATAAAATACCA